TTTCAACGGCTAAATTTTTGGAATTAGATCGCCAGGCCTTTCTTCCCAGGGACCTCTGGGTGGACTTGAACTTCTAACTTTTCAGTTAGGAGTCAAGCTCATTAACCATTTGTGCTACCCACAGACCCCTGACTGAAGTCTCACAGCTGATAAGCACTAGAGCTATGAATTCAGTGTGGTCTGTCTGACTCCAGGCCTGGGCTCTAAGTCCTCCAGAGTTTATCTTCATGTCTGTCTGAGAGGTGGGTGGGGCTGGGATCATGGTCCTGGCGTCAGAGATGGGGAAAATGAAGCGCAGAGGGCTTGACTGTCTCGCCCAAGAGGGCACACATAGGAAAAGGCAGAGCAGAGTCGGGACTTGAATGGGGCTTTTTATCCCCAGCCTGGTGTTTTCCTCTGTAGTCCCTGCCTCCTGGCTGTGAGCTCTTCCTTCTCTACACCCAACACATCTGGGCTCCCACTTCTCTTCCCACCCTACTCAACTCGTCTTCCTGCACTCACATGTCATTTACATAGAACACCCAGGAAGGACCATGGCATCTTTGGGAAGACGGCCCCACTCACCCCCTTTATCCCAGCCCCGCACCCCAGGTATCTGCCGCTGGCTATGAGAGTAGTGGGGACACAGTGCCCATTTCATGGGGGAGAAAGGCAGGACCAAGGGAGGGAAGCCTTTTTCCCTTTGCCAGGCTCTCCCTCCCAGGGGATAATTCCATGAGAACCCACATTCGGGTGGGAGGGGGCGGACCACCAAGCCCCTTTGCTGCTGCCGTAAGTGAACACTGCAGAATGAAGTCCTCCTAGTGGATCCTAGGTAGGGCACGCGGTCATGGTGTGGTGTGGGCTGTATGAGTATAAAGGGAGGGAGGCTCAGTAGTCACGGTTGGGAATTTGGGCATCACCACCTCCACTGTCCTGGGACCGGGTGAGCTGTGCCTGGCCTCAGGGTGTCACCCCTGTGTGTGGGAGCCTCACCTCCCCCGTCTTCCTGCCTTCAGCAGACACCATGCTGGTTTCACCAAGGGGTTAGTTCCAGCCTCAGAGCTGACCTCACAGGGCTCAGGGATTCCCCTCACTAGCCCAAGCTCAAAATGCGGGACTCGAGTTCCAGACTTAATGCATTCCTTCACAGATTTGCTGTATGATCTTGAACAAGACTTCCCCTCCCTAATTCCTTTCTGATGTCACATCTGAAGCATCTGACTCTTGCCTCCTGTGCTCAGGATTCCCATTCAACCCTATGGAGTACCCCCACAGGGCTGGATCTGAAACAGGCTTGGAAAATCAGAAAATTGGCCGGATTTTTTAAAATTATCATCTAGGTTTTGATTTCTCTACATAATGACAGTGGCAACATTTGAAAATTGCTATCACTTTTAAGTGAAGAAACTGAGGTCCAGAGCGGGCCAGTGACTCAGACGAGGTCACCAAAGAGGTTAGTGACACACTGGAGTCTAGAACCCAGGGTTCCTGACTTCCTTTCCAGCAATTTTTTCCCTTTTACCACATCCCTTCCATTTCCTGCTGGCCCCAGCCCAAGCCTCAACCCATTAACCAAGACCCAGTTGTGGAAACTGAGGCCCAGGTGGGCAGAGACTGGCCCAGGCCCATCCTCCAGGGATGTGGACAGAGGCTGGCACTGCCCTCACTGGCCCTCTGGGGCCTTTCCCAGGGTCTGCTAAGATCACCAGTCCAGGGCCATGCTCAGCAGCCCAGGTGGCCTCCTTCCTTTTATACTCACATACCCCACGGGGACACCTGGGCTGCCAGCATGGCTTGGACTAGTGATCTTAGCAGACGCTTGGCTGGAGCCCGGGCTGTTGAGAAGAGGCTGGCAATAAGGCCTCAGGAAACAGACTGGCTCCAGTCCTTCTGCTCGGTCCAGACAGCTTACAGATCACTGGCCAGAGCAAACCCTTCTGTACTTGTGGCAGAAGACAGATTTGTTCAACAATTATTTATTAAGAGCTTGCTATTGTTAGCTCGGGAGTCCCCAGATAGCACAAATAGTTAATGCTTAGCTGCTGACTGAAAGATTGGTGGTTCACCTTCACACAGAGGCTCTTCAGAAGAAAGTCCTGGCAATCTTCTTCTGAAAAATCAGCTATTGAAAACCCTGTGGAGCACAGTTTTACTCTGACATACATGAGGTCACCATAAGTTGGAATCGACTTGACAGCAACCAGTTTGGTTTTGGCTTATTGATAGCTCAGGAGTCCCTGGATGGTGCAAATGGTTAATGAATGAGTCCACCCAGAGGCACCTCAGAAGAAAGGCCTGGCAACCTAATTCCAAAAAAACAGCCATTGAAAACCCTACAGAGCACAGTTCAACTCTGATACACATGGCGTTGCCATAAGTTGGAATCGACTTGACGGCAGCTGTTCATTATTGTTAGTTACTGGGGCAATAACAGCGTATAAAACAAGGAAAAATTCCCACCCTTGTGGAACTCAAATTCTAGTCTAGACAGACAAAAAGTCAACAGACAAATGTTAGATATCTAAAAATGTAACATATCTAAAATATATAGATGCTATGAAGGAAAATAATCCAGAGAACAGGATGGGAGTGCCAGTGGCCAGGTTGTATTTTCTAGTAGGGCAGTCAGGGAAGGCCCCATTTGAGAAGGTGACAGTTGCGAAGAGATGTTAAGGAGAGAGTGAACTTTGGAGATACCTGGAAGAAGAGCATTCTGGGCAGAAGGAACAGCAAGTGCAAAGGCCCTGAGGCAGGAATGTGCCTGGCATGTCCTAGGAGCAGCAAGGAGGCCAGTGTGCTTGGAATGGCATGAGTGAGGGTAGAGGGAAAAGAAGTAACAAGATGGGAAATGTACATTTCAGACAAGATTTATGGCGGAAGGGATGAGCTATTCAGAGGGAAGCCAGTGACAAGGGCTATAGGGGCAGAGATGGTTGGGGAGAGGAAATGCAAGAGAAGTTGGTAAGCAAATTCCAGGCAGAGAGAACAGCTTGTGAAAAGCCAAGGAAGTATGGGTGGCTCATCATGTTCAAGCATGAATGAAAAGTTGCTGGAGAAGGAATAGGGTGGGAGTGAGGGACAAGGTTGGAGTAGTCAGCTGTAGCCAGGCTGAGAAAGCAGATGCAGCGATGGGCAGGAGACTTTGGTAGCCCCAGGAGAAGATGGGAGGGGAGTGCGGTTAAGTGAAGTTGCAGGGCCAGGAGATTGTGGCCAGAGAGCAGAAGGTGAAGCTTGAGATTGAGAGGTGCAGCAGTTCTAGGTGAAAGTAAAGGGTCAGGAGTGGCTATGCAGAGGGCAGCTTAAGTGAGGACCCATGGGGTCAGAGGGTGGGTGGGATGGCCCTGCCTCCAATGCAGCAAGACCTGGGCCAGGGCCCAAAGACCAGCTGGGGCCTCTGAGTGTCCTCACCATCAGCCTCAGGATGTACAGGACCCCCTAGTGGGGAGTCCCAGTTGCATGGGATGTGGGGGAATGAGCAGCCACCACTGGGAGATGCTGCACAGGTAGCCGGCCGGGGCCAGGAAGGCCCCAGCCCCTCCTCATTCCTCCTCCTCCTCCTCCTCCTCCTCCTGCAGCAGCTCTCGGAGACTCTTTCCTGAGCAGACGCTGGTACTTCCCTGGCAGCTGGTCCCAGGCAGGCTTGGTGGGCAGTGCCCTGGTGGCTGGGGGGTAGGGCACAGGAAGGGGAAGCCCCTTTGGTTTCTGTATCACAGAAGGGACCCAACAGGGAAACCCCACAAGTCCCAAAAGGAAAGTGGCAGAAGTGGACCTCGGGGAAGACCAAGAAACCCCCATCCTCTCCCTGAAGATGGGAAATCCAGGGCGGGGCTGTGCTGGAAGGGAGTTCTGTAGTTTATGCAGCCCAACCCTAACAGGGGTATCTACAGATCAGAAGCTTAGATCATTGGCTCTGGGAGGTTACTCTGCGTCTGGACTGATCCTTGATCCTGACCTCACAAAACCCAAATCTAGCCACAGGCTGAGCACTGACCCTGGTCATTGACTGAGCTCTTATCCCAGCCCAAACTTGAGGCCTGACCCAGGACACAGCCTGTCAGAATCTTGGCCACAGACAAAGTCCTGTCCCTAATCTGGACTGAGCTCTAAGCCCAACCCTGACTCACCACAGCTGAGCTCCCAGGTCATTGATAGCGCTGACCCCAAACAGACAGAGCCGAGACGTTGGTCCCAGATTAAACTCTAAACCCAGGCCTAGACCAAACCCTGAGCCTGTTTACAGACTGAGCTCTAACCCTAGGTCTGACGGTGGTTAAAGACTGAACCCAGACCTCAGCCCTAGACGGAGCCCAGACCCCGGTCCCAGACAAAGCTCTAATCCTAGCCCCAGACATGGCCTTGGACCTGGTCTCATCCAGCCCTGACCCTAATTACAGCCTGCTCTCTAATCCCAGCCGTGATACCACCGGACCGAGCCTTCACTCTGTCCAGGCTGAGACACTGCCCACCCCACACAAAGCCCCATCCCAGCATTCTACTGAACCCTTTCTTCCCTTGCACCCCCTTCCCCTTGCCATCTGGTGAACCAGAAGAGAGTAAGAAAGACTCAAAACCCACAGTCCCCTTTGGTGGTCAGTCTCCTTACCTGGTCATCCACCTTTTGAAGGAACATTGCCTGGTGATGGCCCTAGGTTGATGGCGACAGAGCAGAGAGGCAAGGCAGGGTTCGAGTCTTTGGGACCTACCAGTGAATAGAGCTGGGGCGGCTCAGCTCACTCAAGAGCAGGGAAATGAGGTGAGGGCTGGAGCTGGGAGCTTAGCAAGGGGTCAGGAATTTGGATTGTCCAAAACCCTAGCTTCCCGCTACCCCCCATCACCCCTCCCACCTCCTCTGGGAAGTGAAATTATATTTCCCCATTTTAGCAAGGGGTGGTGAGGAGGGAAGACTGAGTAAATGCAAAGCTGAAAGTACAAGCAGACGGAAAGTGAAACCGGGCACAGCCCCCAGTATAAGACTCTCCCACCCAGGAGATGGCTGGCCAAAGAGGCTGGGCCCCAACATGGGCCAGATGACAGGAGACCTTGGCTGGCGTGAGTTTGAGGCCAGGGCTGGGGGCAGAGGGGCGGGCTTGTGTGAGACTGGGCAAAGGATGGGAGAGCATGGCTGGGGTGGATGGGGGTCAACAGCCAGGGGCAAGACTGAGGATACAGCTGGCTGGAGGAGGGGAAGCCTCAGCTGGCATGAATGAGGTGGGGTGCCTGGGGCAGAGGGGTGGGTGGTTTGGCCAGGGCTGGGCAGAGGATGGGACAATTTGGCCGGCAGGAATGGGGTGGGGGGATAGGCAGTTTAACCAGAACTGGGCAGATGAATGAAGAGTTTGGTTGGAGTGAATGAGCAGGGGCCAGGCAGTTTGTCTGAGACTGAGAATTGGGGCTGGCTAGAGGAAGAACAACAGGATGACTTGGCATGAGTGAGGGGCTGCGGCCAAGGAATCAGCAGCCTGACTGTGTCAGGGGTCTTAAGTTCAAAGCTTGGAAGAAGGTCCAGACTGCAGTTGGTGACTGAAGGACTCAGGGGCTGGAGCCAGAGCTTGGGCAGAGGAGCCAGTGGCAGAGCCAGGTAGAGGCCAAGAGTTAGAATATAGAGACAGAGCCTTCAAGGGCCAGGGCCAAGGATTCGGAATTGGCTGTTGTGCAAAGGTAGGGAGAAGCTTTCGGAATTGGCTGTTATGCAAAGGCAGGGAGAAGTTAGGGGAAGAGCCTGGGGGCTCCAGAGCTCAGGCAGGAAGGGAGGGACAATAAGTGGCTGGTGGCACAACTCAGTTCTCAGTGGGCAACATCCACCCAGGACTGGGAACACTCACTCTGTCTCCTCCAAAGAATTAGGAAGAACCCTACTCTGCTTTGAGTCTCTAGGATGCCAGAGGGTCAAAGTGGCCCCCAAACCTGGGAACCTGAATTCCAGAGACCTTAGGCGTTGGCCACTACCTATAGAAGTTCATGGGGAAGTAGAAGTCCATAGAAGCTCCCCTTAACCTTCATCGAGAGGACATTTCAAGAAGCAGAGCCCAGGGGCTGGGGGACAAGAATGGAAGGGGAAGAGGCATGGAGACAAGGGAGAGCAGGGATGACTTAGGGGTCAGTTTTGGTTTGTGTTTCGAGGAGAATTGTGTAACTCCAGCAATTACTGGATTTCCTTTCCCTGTGGGAGAAACTGCTGATCATAGCCCTCTTCCCAGAGCTCCCACCCCAGTGCCTCTCTTGCCTCTGTCCAAGAAACTAAGGGCAGGAATCACCCTCAGAAACCAGCCATCCGGCTACCCCATTTTACAGATGGGAGCCTGACTTGCTCAAGGGAAGAACCAGGATGAGAAACAGAGGTTCTGCGTCGCATTCTAGGCCCTACTCCCCATCTTGGCAGTCCCTTCCCCTCCTGTTCCCACAGTGTAGGTGAGGGTCTGGTTTGCCCCAGGCAGGCCTCACTGCAGAGTGACCCACCTGCTTTGGTGGAGACTAGCCCAACCTGTCCTTTTGACTTCCTGGGACAGAACCTCTGGCATTGCCAGCCCATCCCTGGGGCCCTAGTTGCCAGTTCAGGCCATTAGAGCCACCTGGCTGAGCCCAAGGAATCCTTGGCAGAACAGAATGTGCCCACTCCAGGGGCAGGTGGCTGCCTCCTCTGAGGTCCCAGGGGGAAACATACAGGCTTGGACAGATATAGAATTCAGTCCCAGCCCTCCACCTTCTGGCTATATCACCTTGGGCAAGTCAACCTACTAAGCCTCACTTTCCTCATCTGCAAAATGGGGAGAATAATAGCATCCAGGTTGCCACATACGGTTATGCAGGCTGTTTACTGAAAAAGACATTTGGCCAAGGGAGTTAGCGGGGGTCAAAATCCAGCCTGCGATCTGCTTGCAAAGGTAGGTACTCTGTGCAGTGCTATGTCTGCCTGGGGGCAGGGGTGCCTTCCTTCCATTCATACAGAGATGCCATACAGCACCTGATACCGCATGCTGGGCTCTCATTATTGGTTTTGAGGAGTCAGTGAGATGATGCCTGTGAAAGTGCCTGCACAGAGCTGGCATAACGCATGCTCAGAAAAGGTGCCTTGCCTTCCTTCTCCTGAGTCTCCCCTCATCTTGCCTACCCTCTCCACATCTCTCCAGGGCTCACCCTGTTGCTACTCTTTTTGCTCCTGGCCCGCGCTGGTGTCTGGGGATTTCCAAGACCCCCAGGGAGACCCCCACTGAGCCTGCAGGAGCTGCAGAGGGAGTTCACTGTCAGCCTACGTCTGGCCAGGAAGCTGCTCTCTGAGGTCCAGGGCCTGGCCCATCGCTTTGTGAGTTCCTTAATGCAGCCAGCTCCGGGGATGGGCAGGCCCCAAACCTCCTCTGGCCTGACTAACAGACCTTGCCCCACAGGCTGAACATCACCTGCTTGGAGTGAACCTGGACCTTCTGCCCCTGGGAGAGCAGCTCCCCAATGTTTCCCTGACCTTCCAGGCCTGGCGCCACCTCTCTGTGAGTGAGGGCTGATGGGGTGTGGGAGGGGAGCTGCCAATGAGGCTGGGACTGATGAGGATGGGGTAAAGTTGGGAATCGAATTGAAGATGGATTTGGGGATAAATCTGGGGATAGATTCTGGATGAGATTGAGTATGTCATTGGATACAAAGAAACTAGAATAGGATGTGATAAAGCAATGAGGTTAGGGAGAGGGTGAGAGTGACACTGGGCATGGGAGGAGGTGCTGATGGGAATGGAATGGGATTGGGAATAGAGATTAGTAGGAGAAGGGATGAGTTGGTGTTAGGAATAAGAATAGGATGGGTTAGGGATGGGAAGAAGATTGGAGATGAGGGTAAAAATTAGGTGGGGAATGGAGAAGGGATGGGGATTGCTTGTGTGGTTGGGACCGGAATGAGATTTGGAACGGGGTTGGAGACGGGATGGAAAGACGGTGAGAATGAAGCTAGACATATGAAGGAGTGATGGAGTTGGGATTAGGGATGAGAATGAGGATGGGAAAGAGGTTGGAGGCAAGATGAAAACAAGGTGAGAGGTTGGAGATGGGATGGGATGGTGGAGATAGGAATGGAATGGGATTGGGGACAGAGTTGAAAAGAGGGTGAAAACGAAGCTGGAGATGGGAATTGAATGGAGTTGCAAATAGAAAGTGCCATGGGAATGGATACGGGGCTGGGATTAGAGACAAGTCTGGGGTGGGGCTGAAAATGAGGTTGGGAATAGAGATGAGATAGAAATCAAAGACAGTAGAGATGGGACTAGGGATTGGAATGGTGATAAACATAGGAAAGAATGGGGATAGAGATGGGGTTCGGGATGAGAATAGATATGGGGATAGGATAGTGTTGGGGTTTGGGATGGGAACAGGGATGGAACGGGGGTTAAAGATGAGGATGGAAATGGGGCCCAGATAGTGATGGGTTTGGCTCTGAAGTGTGTCATCGTGGGCCTGAGGGCCTTTCTTGATCCCTGCCCTTACTTTTCATAGGACCCAGAACGACTCTGCTTCCTCTCCATGATGCTTCGCCCCTTCCATGCCCCGCTGGGAGGGCTGGGGAACCAGAGGGGCTGGACCAGCTCAGAGAGGATGCAGCTACGGGCCATGAGGCTAGATCTCCGGGATCTGCAGCGACATCTTCACTTCCAGGTAGAGTGCCCACTCACCCTTCTCAACCCCAGAGTCCAACACACAAAATTCAGGCTCATTGGCTCCCTTTTTAAAACATCTCCTGCTCACAGTTTAGGCAAGTCTAGAGGGAAACACTCCATCAGCAGGTCCTACAGCCAAGTTGGTTTCCTCTCCCTCTCTTCCTCTGACATCACCCGGCTCCTCCTTAATATTTCAAAGGGAAATCGGAATTTTACCCTTAATCAAAGGAGAATAGAAAATGCAAGTAGAATTAAAACCAGCCACGTCATCTCTCTGCCTGTTTCTGATCCTGAGACAACCTTTAAGAGCAGAAAGGAACTTCCTGAGCCCCAGATCCACAAGACCATCCTGGAGGAGTGACTCAGCCCCATGAGTATCATCTTGGTCCATTACTTACCTTTTCTTGACCAAAAAGTTGGGCAGAACACATGAGATGACATAATAAAAGATGTGAAGTAGGGGTTGTCCAGGGAAAGGGTGACCCTGTAGTAACTGATGTCATTATGAACTATTAAGTAGAAAAAAGGAACAAGGATTCCCTTAGGTTCTCAGCCTGGTCATTCTCTGACCCATGGCTCTCCTCACAGGTGCTGGCTGCAGGATTCAACTTCCCTGAGGAGGAGGAGAATGAGGAGGGGAAGGGGCTACTCCCGGGGCCTCTGGGCAGCCCCTCACAGATGTCAGCCCAGGCATCTTGGCCCCAGCTCCTCTACAGCTACCAGTTGCTGCACTCCTTGGAGCTTGTCTTGTCTCGGACCATACGGGACTTGCTGCTGCTCTCCCAGGCTGAGAACCCAGCCCAGGCCTTGGGGTTTCCGATACCTGGCTCCCAGCCCTGACAGAGTGACCTCATCGCCTCCCCTCATCCTCACCCTTTGGGACTGGAGTCTCAACCAAGAGGGCAGCCTCCAGCTCACTTGCCTTAGACAAGGCAGGGTTCCACCAGCTCCAGCCCCAGCCCCTACCCAGTAACTTAAAGCCCCTCCAATCCTTGACAGATATTTATTTCTTGGATATTTATTTATTGTTCAGGGAGAGGATGGTTTATTTATTGTTTCAGGGCCTGCTGGTCCTCCTCGGGCTGGGCCACTGTGCTGGGTGCCTAATAAAGCACTCTTGCTCCTCTCTGTTGTCTCAATTTCTTTTCAGGGAAGGGCCCCAAAGGGCAAGAAGACCTGGAATGGAGTCTATAGCCTCTGGCTACCCTGGACCCTTCTCTGCGTCTAAATTTTTGGGGTCCCCCATTCTGGCCTCCTCAGCTGGTGGTTGCCATAATAACCAGCAGGATTCTGAGGCTGAGCTACCATTTTGGAAGCCCAAGGCAACTGGTCTGCTATCCACCAACCTTTGATTCCAATTGGTGTCCTCAGACCCTCCAAAACCCCTTCCCCTTGGGCTGGCTCCATCTCCGGAGGCTTGTTACACCTACACAGCTCTGTGGGGGCGTGGGGGGCCAGAGGGGGAGTCAGAGAGGAGAGGGCTGTGGGGATAATTGTCCCTGTCTCTTCCAAGTCTTTTCAAACTCCAGACAGCTGAGACAGGCTGTGGAGGTAATTCAGGGCAGGAACTGTGAGAGACGGTCCCAGTGGGGTGGGTGGGCCACCAGCCTGCACTGGAAAATCAGACTCTGTAAGTTCGTTGTCCTTAGGGACATCTGGTTTTCTTGGCTCCATGAACAACACACCAAGAAACTGAGGCCCAGAGGGTGGAAAGGATGTGTCTAAGTTGCAGAGGGAGCTGAGGGGAGCGGGGCCCACCTGGGCCTTCTGATAGCACTCAGGGCCTGGCTCTCAGGATCTCGGGTCCCAGTCACTGGGGCTTCGGCTGGCCCAGTCGTGCTTGCAGTTCCTGCATCATGCCGGAGTGTGCAAGGCCAAACCTGGAGGTGGAAGACAGGCCCATGGGAGCCGGTCCCGAGGTCCACAGCCTCCTCCCCATCCCAGTCCGGTCACCTTACCCTTGCCTACCCGTGTCCCAGGGGCCTTCTCCTGGCTGGCACCGGGGTCCCCTCAGGCCTTGGAGGGCTTGATTCCGGGGGCTCCACTGACTGGAGAAGTCTCTGCTGGGGGGCTGACAGCTCTGCTTCAGGTGCCGGGCTGGAGGGCTCCTCTTGCGGCCCAGATGGAGGGGTGCGACGGAAAGAGGGCTGGGAGCGGCGCTGTGAGGAACTGCGGGAGAGGAGTGCACGGCTCCGTGGGATGGAGACATCCAGGCGGGACCCAGGGAGCAAGGCCTGCAAGGAAGGGGACAGAGTATTGTGGGGCTGGCTTCAAGACTCTGCTTTGTCTGGTCCTGGACCCTGCCCAGAGTCCCCACCTTGCTCCAGCTGCTGTGAGCATGCCCTCTGGTACTTTCTGTGGTCTCTGCAGCCTCTGCCTCCCCTTGCATCTCAGGCTCAGCCTTTGAAGGGTCTTGGGTTGTTGGCTGCTCCTTCTGGCCCTTGACATCTTCCAGGCCTTCTGGATCAGACTTCTTAATGTCATTGACCTTCTCAGCTTCCCCGGCCTCCTCAGCTTCCCCAGCCTCCTCAGCCTCCTGGGCCTCCTCGGCTTCCCCAGCCTCCTCAGCTTCCCCAGCTTCCCCAGTCTCCTCAGCTTCCCTGGCCTCCTCAGCCTCCTTGTCTTCCCCAGCCTTCCCAGGCTCCTCAGCTTCCCTGACCTCCTCAGCTTTCCCAGCTTCCTTGGCTTCCCTGGCCTCCTTGGCTTTCCTGGCTTCCTTGGCTTCCCCGGCCTCCTCAGCCTCTGGCCTCTGGCCTCCAGCCACCTCAACATCCTCCAAATCAAGGGGCCTGTGTGCCTCTCCCTCAGGGTGGTTGTCCCCATGCTGCCCTTCACTGTCTGCCCCCTGCTCCATCGCTTTCCACTCCCCAGCCTCTGTTCCCTCCACTGTCTGCTCTCTTGGTAGCCCCTCAGCCTCCCCCATGGTCATCGTCCCCTCTGTTCTTGCCACCTGGGAGCCTGAGGTAAATTGATCTATCCTCCAGCTTCCTCCTGCCACTGCAGATTCCCCAGCCTCGGTCTGGTCTCCCTCAGAATCTCCCTCCATGGCCTCAAAAGCCTCTGCCTGGCCACCTCTGCCCGTCACCCCCTCCTCTGCAGAGTCCTCCAGGCTGAACTGCCCACCTCTGTTCTCTCCCTCTGTGGCCTCCCCATGCTGGGCCTCAGGCAGCTCCCCACCTCCCCCAGCCTCCTCTCTCTCCTCTGAGTCCCAGATTCTCTTAAACTCCCTCTCCCAGGCATCCCCAGCCTCCCCTTCTGGCCCTTCTTCCACCTTGGCCTCCTTTACATCCAGGGCTGCCTTATCCTCCACAATCTTGGTAGCCAAAGAACTTCTGGTCTGCATGTCCTTGCTTTCCTGGTGGCTCAGAGCCACCTCCTCCAGCCTCCAGCCTCTTCTGGGTGCTCTGTCTGCTCCCTGTGGTACTGCAACTTCTACCTCCCCATCCTCAGCTTCTCTGGCTTCTGAATCTTCCAGTGACTGGCCTGCCCCTGCTCCTGCCCCACAGCCCCCACCTGGCTCCTGGTTCTCTGCTTCCAGGGCCTCTTCCTCCTCTGTCCCACAACCAGTGTCCTTTGCTTTCTTCCGCTCCACTTCTGCCTCCAGGATCTCGAGTAGTTCAGACTCTGGGCCTCTTTCTGCCTCAGCCTCCAGAGCCTGGCCTCCTGCAGCCTCCTCTTCCACCTCCTCGGCTTCTGCTTTCTCCTGGATATTTCCTCTCTCCACATCCCTTCTCCTCTCATTTCCCCAGGCTTCAGCCTCAGAGACTTGGACATCAGGCTGTATATACTCTAAGTACCTGGAATCCCCTTCCAGGTTCCTTTCTGTTTCCTCTTTGCCTAGGGCTAGAGCTCTCCAGAGATTTTCTTTAGCCCCCTGTCCTCCCTCAGGTTTCTTTGTTGGAGACGGGGCCCCTCCCATCAGCTCAGGTTCCTGGCCTTCAGTGATTTCACATTCAAGGCCTCCCCATTCCACCCTCAGTGCTTCTTGGCCTCTCTGAGCCTCCTCCTCACTTCTCTGCCCCGTGAACACCTTCTCAGGTCTGGCCTCTGGGGTTGTCTCCAAGTCAGCATCACCTTCAGCCCCTTTTGCCTCTTTGTCCTGGGGCAGCTGGGCCTCTGTGGCCCAGCCACTCCCTTTTTCCTCCTTGGCCTCCTCTGCCTGTACCATCTCCTCCAGCCTGGCCTGATCAACCCTGATCTCTGAATCTTGCTTTCCCTCATCCTCTTTCCTGCCTTGGTCAGCCTGGCCCTCAAAGCCCTCCCCTACCTCCTCCTCTGACCCTAGGCTTCCTGCAGCCTCCCTCTCTGCTGCCTGATCCCCAGCCCCTTCTTCCACTCCCTCAGTCCCCAGGGCCGGGGTCTGTTTAGGGAAAAGGCTCTCTTTAGAGTCTCTCTTCTCATCCACCTCCTTCTCCCAGTCTTCCTTGGAGGCCTCATTTAGAACCCAGACACTCTCAGTATCCTCTGGGGTCCTTTTTCCTGGGACCGCCCCATATTCTGTCTCCCTGATTACTGGATGGTCAGCCTCTTCCCTGCTTGAGGTCGCCTCTGCCCCTATCCTCCATGTCTCCTGTGCCCCTGTGATTTGGCCACCCCTCACCACTACCACAACCTCTTCTTTCCTCCCAGCCCCTCTGGCCTCAGGCCCCTGGGTCTCCTCTGCAACTGTCTCTTTGTCTACCTGCTCTGTCTCCTTGCCATCCCTAGCTGCATTTTGCCAGCCAACGCCAGCCTTCCCCTCAGGCTCACCAGGCCAGGTCCGTTCTGACTCCGCCCCTTCGGCCACCCCTGGCTCTCTTGCCCTGACCTCTTCCTCCTCCTCCTCCTGTTCCCAAGTTCTCAGTGTCTCCCCTCTGTTCACTTCCTGCTCATCAGGCTCCTGCCTCTCCTGGGCTTGGCTGCTCCAGTCTTGGCCAGCCACAGACCCTGCCTCAGACTTCTTCCTGGCCTCTGAGGGGGCATTTGGCTCCTGGCACCTGGCAGCCTTGGCTGCCTCCCAGGCCTCAGTGTCCTGTCTGTCTGCTTGGGACCCACAGGAGCTGCCTTCTCTCCAATCCCAGGTCTGTTCTGTAGCTAAGCTTCCCTCCTGGTGTCTTCCAGCCTCTGCAGGCCCTCCATTCCCCTCTCTTCGGCTGCCTCCAAGGCCCTTCAGGGCCTCCTGAGCTTCCTCCTCCGCAGCCCTCTTTGGCCTTTCTGCACTCATGTCCGCTAGTTCCTTGGTTGCCTGAGCCTCTCTCCCCCCTGCAGTGGGGACCTCATCTCCCACGAGGTAGGAGACAAAGTTGCTGAAGGAGTCCTAGAAGAAAAGGGAGAAGGGGAAAGGGTATTAAGGGGAGGCCCAGCCCTCTCCCGAGGGGCCCTGGGCCCAGAGAAGTCCAGGAAAATGGAGAGGGGTTCTGGGATCTGGAAGGAGAGGGAAAACAGAATCTGCAGAGGGAAGAAGAAAAGGCCTAGGTATGTGGATGTGTTTGTGGAGGTGGGGGGATTATATCCAGTAAAAACTGGGCTAGGAGGCTGCCTGATCTGGGGAAGGAATCTCCAGTCTAGGGAGAGAATCAAAGGGGGAGGGAAAGTGTAGGTCCCAGGGAGCAGAGTGAAAGTCTCTGGCATCTCTTTTCCCCTCTCACCAGTGCCCCCATCAAGGCCTGATGCAGCCCAGGGAGGTGTAGCCGGAGGAAGTCCATCCTGTCTGTCTCTGTTCAGAAAGCTGACAATGACCGTCCCCACACACCAAGACAAGTCAGTCTTTCCTGGGGCGCAAGACACTTCCTCTTCCCCTGCCTCTCCCTGACACATCCCCTCCCCTGGTTCTGCCTCCCTTCCTCCCCAGTGTCCACAGTAGACTCTACCCTAGGCTGGGAAATGGGCGTGCATCACACAGGGAACTCAGGTGCACATTTGGAGGTAAACGGCACGGGGTGGGAGGGTGGGGGAGGCCAGAAAGAGAAAAATGGGAGCAGAAGAATCTCAGAATTGGGGGTGGGGGAGGGGGCATGTGGCAACTGCACTCAAGCGACTCAGGTCTTGTATTTACACCTCAGCTATTTCCGCCTCCCCCCTAAGCCACAGCCACTCTGAGAGGAAGCTGGGGTTTGTGGTTCCCGTTTTGCCTGGTGACAAGGAGTGGGAGTGAGGAGGGGGATCTGAGGCTGGTAAGAACGCTGGCTGGCTTCTCATTTGGGGGGTCATTAATGCATCCCTAAAGGTGAAAAAGGGGTTGGATGGGTGGCTCCATCTGTGGTCATTCTTGCAAAAAAGAATTTGGCTAAACTTTGTATTGTGCTTATTTGTGCCTAACTCCCACTCTCCTGTGAGTTTCTTGAGAGCAGGGACCATGTATGAAACTACTGAACTTTTAGAAACTTGCGTAAGTAGTAACCCATTGCTGTAGAGTCGATTCTGACTCATACCGACCCTATAGGATGAAGTAGAACTGCCCATAAGATTTTTAAGGAGTGGCTGATGATTCCAACTGCGGACCTTGTGGTTAGCAGCCGAGCTCTTAACCACTGTGCATGAGAAGTAGGAGCCCATTTTTCATTGAATGAGCTAGAAAGCACACCAAAGGGGGCACATTTCATAGAGCTGGTAGAGGTGGACACAGGCTGCTGCTGGCAGCCCACAGCAGAGATCTGCAGGGGAGGGACCCCATGAAAAGAATTCAGGAGGCTGCCTTGGCAGCCATCTAGAGGAAAGTTAAGTAAGAGAATCACTCCATATTTGAGAATATGTTGTGATCCACCCTCCCACCGCCCCCTACCCCCGCCGCCAGCCCCACTTTGTTCTTTTGTGAAATTAGCAGAATTGGATAAGATTACAGAATCTGAACATTAGACCTTAGAATCATCTGGTCTAGGTACCCCTGAAGCAGGCAGGAATCCCGCAGCAGCCTTCACAATGGCTCCCTGCTGCTAGAGCTTTCTTATTGCTGAAAGGCTTTCTAAGGTCACCTTAAGAGCCTTGTATGATCGTCAGTAACCTTCCTTTTTTGTACCTCCGTTTTCTTATTTGTGATATTCTTTGATTCTAGAGTCATTTGGAAAAGAGGGTCTCTTAACGCCTTGGATACCACCAATAGATAATTTATCACATCCCTTAGGTGAGCGTTATCTTTATTTTCGGTTTCTAAAACGATTTGTTTCCACCACGCGGCTGCCAGTTAGTCGTACTGTCCACAGTCGCTCAACAATGGGCTCAAACATAATGACGATTGTGAGGCACAGGACTGGGCAGCGTTTCCTTCTGTTGTACATAGGGTCGCTATGATTTGGAACCGACTCAACGGCACCTAACAAGAACAATAACAACAATACGATTTGTAAGGGCAACAGATAGGAAGAAAAAAGAATGATCTGAAGCTGGCCATCTTTGTTCTTGGCCAGAAACAGTCTTCTCTGAAATTAGTAGGCAGGTGACCATATTTGTTTCTGGCAAGTGAGGGCCAGGGGAGAGCACATGAAGCTGCCCACAGCCATGACTAGTGCTGGCAGGATTCCGTCACGGCCCCGGCCGCCGCTAACCTTACGTCATAGCTCTTCTTGCTGACCCTACCCGCTCCAAATGAAAATCTGTGTTCCAGAGTTCTCCCGGCTCCTCCCCTTCTCATGCCCCGAAGCTGGGGAAAGCCTAAATTAGTGAAGACGCTGGTAGGACGCGGAAGTGGCGAAGACCTCTGAGCACGTCATGGGATCCGCTGGTGCTGTCACGTGACCGCCAAACTGCTGCTCCTTGCTGCGGAACGCTCAGCTGCTCTTAAAGGTACAGGCCGCGGGGCTCCAAGCTTTAGAGGGGGCAGAGGTGGAGTCCGACGGGTGAGGCGTGGTAGGCGGGAAGGGGCGCGAGTTGGAGTCCAGGCTGTGCGGGATGGATCGTCCGGCGCGAGTGCACCGGAGCAGTCGGAGCTGGGACCGGCAATGGGGCGTTGATCTTCTTATCTGTCACAGACTCCTGTCCTCCCGGTCGGCGCCAACCCTGAGCTCTCGCTGACCTTGGCCCCTTTGGGGGACTCGAACTTGATGCCATGGCTTGCTGCGCGGGCTCTTGGCGGCGCCTTTCGGATTCCGAGGGTGAGTATTCTGGCCCGCCCTCACGGTAGTGACAACCTCTGCCCCGCGACCTACCTGACGGACTTAGAAGCTGGCTGGGCCCCAGGGAGACACCCTGTGGGGCCGTCGTGCACTTGCGAGTGGGGTCGGGGTCATGCTCTTCTCTCCCTCTAGGGGAGGAGATCGCCCCCAAACGCCGGTCCCCTCTGTTGGACCGTCAGGGCGCCTTTTGGAAGAACGCGATGGGCTTCTGGTGAGTGGTCTCAGGAGTTCAGCAGAAGTGAAAATGGGGCGGGAGGAGGAAAGGGACGGGAAGAAAGGGGGAAAAAAGGGTTGAGCTTCGAAAAAGGAACGGAATCCACAAATATTTATTGAACTATCTGTTTCGCCCGGAGACTGCATGTAGATTTCCCAAAGTTCACTCATTTGTTTACTTAACCATCTTCACGTTTTGGCCAGATCCTCATACCAGATGTAGGATTATTTACTTCATGTTTTTCCTCCAACCAATTCACCCTTCAAAAATTTTAAATACACTTATTTTTAAGAAGTCTTGAAATCACTACTCTAAATGGGAAGCCAATACTTTACTAATGCACGTTTAAATAAATACCAAACCCAAACCCGTTGCCGTCGAGTGGATTCCGACTCATAGTGACCCTATAGGACAGAGTAGAACAGCCGCATAGAGTTTCCAAGGAGCATCTGGTGGATTCAGACTGCCAACGTTTTGGTTAGCAGCCATAGCACTTAACCACTATGTCACCAGGGTTTCTTTTAAATAAATACATCACGACTGAACTTTTTTTTTTAAAACATGTTTTTTAAAGGTCATCCATCTAACTCCAAAAATCATTTAAGTACTGCCCCTTGGGAAATACTTCTAGCATTAACCTAAACATCAAGGACTTTGGTGGCAGATTGGGTTGGAAGTAATTGGACCCGTTCCCATGTGAGAATTTGTAAGAGTCGGTTAACTTCTCTGAGCCTCAACTTCCTTAATAGTAAAATGGGAAGAATAGTAGTACTACTTTATAGACCTTGAAAATGACGTTTATGAAATCCCTGGCCCTGTGCCCAGTTTTCTTCCCATCACTAAGCACATACAGCTCTGGGAGATGAGATTAAGCAAACAAAATCCTTCATGGATCATAAAGGGTTTCTGTGTTATCTTGTTTTGATCCTCACATAGCACTGTCAGGTAGCCAGGAGAGGAATGTGTATCCTTTTACACATGAGTAGACTGAGACCACTCAAGTAGGAAGTACAGACTTGGGACCTGAACGTATTTCTCTGAGCTTCAAGCCTTGGAATCTTTCTGCTGCACCACAGTGCATCAGAGGCAGTGGTCAGTGGACGAGAAATGCCCCAGGACTGAATCATAGAGGGAACTCAGAGGATCGAGTGACCAAGGAAAGCTTCCTGGGACAGATCTCAGAGCTTGGATCTGAACACACGTCTGTAATCCTAAGGCCCATGTTTCTAACCCCAACACTGAATGGAGATGGGATCTGGTGATGTGGGGTGAAAAAGAGGGAGCTGATTGAAGGCACAGGTAAGGGGGAGGTTTGGTGCTAGGGCTATGATAGACTGTACCCCTGAAAGGAGATTAAAGTCTGTCCTGCTCACTCCAGGCTCCTGGGCCTTTGCAACAACTTTTCTTATGTGGTGATGCTCAGTGCTGCCCATGACATCCTCAGACACCAGAGGGCGCCTGGGAACCAGAGCCATGTAAGTGTTCCCCTGTCTACTACCACCACCATGTTTGGCCCGTAGGAGAAGATGATGGACTCACCCTGGGGCAAAGACCCCCTTGAAAAACTCAAAATAGGGTGACCAAGAAGTAGGGCAAGGGGGCTAATGTTCTCATACCCCTAGACCCTCGGGGCAGGCAGAGATCACAGTGTGGGGTTTGCAAACTGAAATGTTGGCTGGGTGGGACTATGGTCTATGGCTGGGTTTTGCAACCACGGCACTATTGACATTTTGGGCTGGATCTCTGTAGTGGGGGGCTGTCCTGTGCATTGTAAGATGCAGCATCCCTGGCTGCTACCCACCAGATGCCAGTAGTCACCCTCACCCCCTAGTTGTGACAACCAAGAATATCTCTAGACATTCATTGCCAAATGTTCCCTGAAGAGTAGAGTCGCCCCTGGTTAGGAACTGCTGGTCTGTGGTGAACTGGAAGGCACATGCCCCATCGAAGGGGAGCAGCCACCACCTTGCAGGTCCAAGATCAGATTCTGGAAATTCAGATTTTTATATGAGAGCTCCTGAATGTATTGCCAAACAAAGTCCATTTGCAGGGCCATCTTTGGCCTGTGGGCCATTGGTTTGAGACTTCTGTGGATCCCCTTTCTCCATTGTACAGACAGAAAAACTGAGGTCTTAAGAAGCTAGTGCTGACCCAAGGCCACTCTTCAAGTCAGAGCAGAGCTGGGACTGCAGCCAGGTCCTGTTGGTGTACCCTCTTGCCTCCCTGGGTAATGAAGATTTTCTTGTCTTCCATCAGGTGGACCCAGGCCCAATACCTATCCCCCACAATGGCTCATCTCGTTTTGACTGCAACTCGGTCTCCACAGCTGTGAGTGCCATCTGGTCCTCCCCTGACCCAGGCCCTCTACTTCTATAGACCTCACTCCCAACTGCTCGGCACCATGTGGGAACTGCCATGATTAGGATAATTAAAACAAGTATTTATTGAGCCCTTTTTGCATACAGCATGTATTCATTTAATACACACAACACTCCTGTGGGCCAGGCACTGTCATCATCCCCATTCTCCAGATGAGGAAACCAAAGCTCAGAGAGTGTAAATGCCTTGAAACATAACAAAGGTGTGGCAGAGCTGGGGCTTTAACCCAGATCTGTCCAACTCCAGAGCCTGTTTTTGTAGCAGGTCCGATTGGCTGGTTCCTTTCTTTCCTTGGTTGGGAGGAATGTTCCTGGAAAGGCCTGGAATCTCACTCTGTTCTCCTGTCCCAGGCGGTGCTCCTGGCAGACATCCTCCCCACCCTCCTCATCAAATTGCTAGCTCCGTTTGGCCTTCATTTGCTGCCGTACAGGTCTGAGCAGGGGTGCGGGAGAAGGGCAGGTGGGATCTGAGCGTGGGAGGCCAGGAGGGTGAAGAAGGTGGCAGCAGGGCTGGGGCACTGGGAGCAGAGGTCCACCCTTCCTCATTCCCTCACCCCTCTCACTCGCAGCCCTCGGGTTCTCGTCAGTGGAGTTTGTGCTGCTGGAAGCTTCATCCTCGTTGCTTTTTCTCATTCCGTGGGGACCAGCCTGGGTGGTGAGTGTCAGGTTCTGTGTCGGCTGTGGGGCGCGGAGGAACCTTAGGAGAGCATTTGGGGGGAAACTCCCTAACTTCCCAGAGGAAAAGATTATTTTTATAACCTTCAGAAGGGCTATTTCCTGGTAGGTTGTCATGAGTAGCAGATGGGAGATGAGGACAACTCGGAGGGGTGGGTGGTGGTGGAAATGGAAGGAAATGGAGGGGTTGGATAGAGACTGAGATGAGAAGAGTTGCCACAACTCTGTGCTGTGGGTGGAAGAGACATGAAGGGTTTGATCACTGGGAGTCTGGAGGCACTGTTCCCCTAGAGAGGAGATGTGGAGGAGGTGGTTGGCTCCATTGCAGGTCTGGAGCCCAGCCTGTCTCCCGAGCTGAGCAGAGAAGGCTGTGGTCAAACACCTTAGGGGACTGGGGCAGTCAGAGCCAGGCTAGGTGTGGCCACCTTTGTGCTTGCCCTCCCTCAGGTGTGGTCTTGGCCAGCATCTCGTCAGGCCTAGGGGAGATCACCTTCCTCTCGCTCACCTCCTTCTACCCCAGGTAAGTGAGCAGAGTGAGGTGGGAGGATGCTGGCTGCTGACCTGGATCCTTCTGAGTGCCCCTGTGTTCTCTCCCCAGGGCTGTGATATCCTGGTGGTCCTCGGGGACTGGAGGAGCAGGGCTGCTGGGGGCATTGTCCTACCTGGGCCTCACCCAGGCTGGCCTGTCCCCACAGCACACCCTGCTGTCCATGCTGGGTATCCCCGCCCTCCTGCTGGTCAGGTGAGCTGCTCTGGGCTGGGAGGAAGGTGGAGAGGGTCACGATCCCAGTCTTCAGATACCTGCAGCCTTGCTATGAGGGCATGTGGGTTCTGGACTCTGATAAGCCTCATTTTGATTTCTGATGTTGCTTGTTAGCTGTGTGGCATTGGGCAAGTTACTTTACCTCTCTGACCCTTAGTTTCCTCATTTCTCAAATGATAACAGTTGTCCTTAGTTCTCTGTGAGGCGATGCGTGTGAAGCATCCAGCACAGTGTGGTTCCCAAGATGATTTGAGGTGGGACAAGGGTGGACTTTATGAATTCTGTGTGTATTTTCACGTGTGTTAGACTGTGGCTTCACAGGTTATTGCTTAGGGCAAGGCCGTATTGAAAAAGTGAGTTGATTTAAAGTAAAATATTAAGGAAAAAAATGTTACATACAGGAGCAATGTGGATGTGGCAATTACCATGAAGGCAAAACATAGTAAGTACAACTTGGGAAATCCTGGCCTAGCAGAGTGAGCACATGGTACAAGTAGCTAGAATAATCAGTAGAATAATAATTACAAGAAAACGGAGCTGACTCACCTGTTGTGAGCCAGGAGTTACAGGGAGGGCTAACAGGTAAAAGCAACAAGGAAACAAATTTCAGCTCCAAAGAAGGAAGGATTTGTCCACAACTGGTGCTCTCTCATACAGGATAGGGTGTTTGAGAGATAGTGAGCTCTCTGTTTTCAGAAGTGTACAATCGGGGAGCTGCCCTGGGAAGGCGGGGACTAGATGGCCTCTGAGAGCCTTTGCAGCCCGACAGAGGCTCTTTGACCCTGTCTTCATTCTCCTCACTCTTAGCTATTTCCTGTTGCTCACGTCCCCGGCACCCCAGGATCCTGGAGGGGAAGAAGACACAGAGACAGCAGCTCGGCAGCCCTTGATGAGCAGTGAGGCCCCAGAATCAAAACCAGGTAGAAGACCCAGGAGTCCCAGGCCCTCAGCTAGGTCACTCTGGGTTTCAGTCTTTTCTTCTCTACAGTGGGCAGTCGGGGGGGACAGGGCAGGTGGGCTGGCTGTGGGAAGAGCCAGGTGCATTCATCTCTTCCACACGTACTCACTGAGCACGTACTACGTGCCAGGCAGTCTAAGCACTGGGGATACGGTGGTGACAAAGATAAGGAAATGAGGCAGATTCACAAACACATCAACGAATCAGAAGGAGTTATTTTCCCATACTGATGAGTGATTGAAGAACATAAAGCAGTGACGTGATGGAAAATGACAATTGAGGAAGAAATGGAGAGGGGTTCTAATTAGAGAAAGTAGTCAGTTAAGGCCTTTTTGAGGAGATAACATTTGGGCTGAAACTGGAACGACAAGGAGTCAGCCTCTGGACATCTGGCTGAAAAGGTTCCAGCCAGAGGGAACAGCAGATGCTAAGGCCCTGAGGTAGGAATGAGCTTGGCTGTTCAAGAATCAGAAAGAAGGGGCCAGTGTGGCTCTCTCGGGCGCACAGATGTACAGCTGTCGAGGGCTGTCCAGATGTCATGAGGTCTCACCTGGTTTATGTTCGCTCACTGGCACCCCTTTGCTTAACCCTCGATGTGCCAACCTCACCTGCCCTTCGCTTCCTATTCCCTGCAGACTCCGGCTCCAGCCTCTCCCTTCAGGAAAGGTGGACAGTGTTCAAGGTATGCATGGTGGCTGTGGTGTGTCCCCAGTGGGCGGTGGCCGTCTCCCAGCCTTCCCCTTATGTCTTCTGACTCCCAGAGCCTGCTGCCACACATCATCCCCTTGGTCCTGGTTTACTTTGCCGAGTATTTCATCAATCAGGGACTGGTGAGAGAGGGGTGCTGGGAGAGGGAGGGAAGTAGTAATTGGAATGGGAACCTACACGGCTCTGTTCCTCTTCCTCATCTGGTCTTTGCTACAGTTTGAGCTCCTCTTCTTCCGGAACATGTCCCTGAGTCATGCTGAGCAGTACCGCTGGTGAGAGGGGTGAGGGTGGGTGGCAGGACAGATGTTGGGCTGGGAGGGCCCCTTGATAATGCGCTGCCCTGCTGGTAGGCAACAGGAGGAGGCTCCTCCTACTCCCTGCCCCACTACCTCAGGTACCAGATGCTGTACCAGGCCGGTGTCTTTGCCTCCCGCTCTTCTCTTCGCTGCTGTCGCATCCGCTACACATGGATTCTGGCCCTGCTGCAGGTACTGAGCCCCTGCCCTCACTCCCGTCCCGCCTTGGACCCCAGCTTCCTCAGACCCTGCTGCCTCCCTTCTTCCCTCCCTCCCTCAGCAGGAAGTGTTTATTGCACATGGTCATGTTCTAAGCACTGGAAACAGGAGCCAGCAGGGCTCCTTGTAAAATGGGTGGCCTCAGGAGCCAGACAAACCCCAATGCAAATCTCAGCTTCTGAATTTAGTAGCTGTGTGACTTAGGGCAGCTCTCTGAACCTCTCTGAGCCTAAGTTTCCTCATCTATAGATTAGAGGTGGCCAACATCTACATCTCAGGGTAGATTATAGAGATGAGAAAAATGAAAGAGTAAGATTTTGGGTTGTGTTTTAAATCAGTTAGGAACATGTATTTAATGTTTATTTGTACAAGCCAGGTGCGAAGAGGCCGGCTTTCAAATGTTTCCAACTATGAGAAAATGTATAATTCTTTTATTTTAAATGGTTAATTATAATGGAATTGATGATGAGGTCATGGGTTATCTCGAGGCTGGTGAGCAAATTCAACTACTCATGGCAAACAGTAGTCCACAGTTTTAAGTCAGCAAACAATTCCCTACAATAGTCTTGAACAGATGTCCTTTCACAAAGCCAGCATTCATTGTTTCAGGGTTACAACCTATACCCCCTAAAGGTGACTATTAAAATAAACCTTTAACTATTACAGGAAGGTCCTTTGCCCTTTTTAAATAAACTGAAGGACTCGATTTTGCCATAACAAGATACAGAATAAGTATAACCCATTGCTGTCGAGTTGATTCCAACTCGTAGCAACCCTATAGGACAGAGTGGAACTACCCCATAGGGCTTCCGAGGAGTTGCTGGTGGATTCAAACTGCTGACCTTTTGGTTAGCAGCCATTGCTCTTAACCACTGCGCCACCAGGGCTCCAGAAAATAAGTATAGATTATGCTTAAATTTTAGGGCAACAGCATGTACGTCTTTTCTAACCTTCTTCCTTATTTATCCAGGAGGTAATGCCAGCCCAGGGCTTTGTACTCCCCAAAGCCCCAGATTGTTGTGGCAATAATTCTTGACTCAGGGTTCTTCCTAATGATGCCACTGAAACTTGTAGCTTATGGCTTTAGCTGTAATTTTAGCCAAGGCTGCTGCATAGAATTACGGGCTTATCGTCATTTATTTCCATTACAGAAAATGTCTAGCCTTATGCTACACATGGAAGTGTTTGTGGTGTTTCTCCAAGTGTGGGTCACCACCTGTGGCACTGGTATCACCAGGATTTCTTTTATTTTAATGCAGATCTCTGGGCCCACCTCAGGCTTACTGAGGGGGAGACCTGAGGGTGCATTTTTCACAAGCGTTAACAAGCTCCCCAGGTGACTAAAGGGTGTGAGCCCCTTGGTGGTGGCCTGTGTGCCTCCGGAGAGGCAATGCAGTGTGCTCAGGGGGGTAGAGGGATATCTCTGAGGGACTGGGGCGCAGAGGAGGGGCCTAGATGCTTGGGGTGTGTTGGGGTGAGGTTTAGGGAGGTTTCCTGAAAGAGTTGGGAACACCTAAGCCAAGGTTTCTCAACCTCGCTACTAATGACCTTTGGGGTGGATCATTCTTTGTTGGGGGCTGTCCTGCGCAATGTAGCACGTTTAGCAACATCGCTAGCCTCAGCCACTAGATGGCAGTACCACCCTACCTCCCTAGTTGTGATAACCAAGAATGTTGCTAGAACCAAACGAAACCCTTGCCCTCAAGTCAATTCCAACTCATAGCGACCCTACAGGACAGAGTAGAACTGCCCCGTAGGGTTTCCGAGGAGCGGCTGGTGGATTTGAACTGCTGACCTTTTGGTTAGCTGCTGGAGCTCTCAAGAATGTCACCAGACGTTGCCAAATGTCCCCTGGGCGGCAGAATTGCCCCAGTAGGGAACCACAGACCTAATGGTAGGCTCGTTTGGTAAAATGGGAGAAAACTGTCTTCAGGGAGCCCTTGGGAGGAGGAAATAGGATCACAGGAGTTGTGAGTGGTCCTGATCAAAGCTGAGATATGAAAGGTGATCCCAAGTGATGGAAGGTGGAATATCACTCCAGGCTGTGGGAGTGACAAGCAAAGGCAAGGTGGGGCGCGGGGGAGGCCCGGGTATAAGTTGTAGGAGGATGGGCTAGGGAGAAGGCCTGCTTGGGTCAGATCCCAGGCTCTGGTAGACCAGGCTGGATGTTGGGGTTTCATCTGAGCCTGTCGCCCCTCTCCCTCACCAGTATCCTCCCAGAACCTGGGGCCACTGGCTGGGATACCCAGCCTCCTTCCCTGCCTCCATCTGATCCCAGGTTCAACCTTCCCCTCTGCCTTTGCCCACAGTGTTTCAACCTGGGCTTCCTGATGGCAGACGTGTGGTTCAGCTTCCTGCCAAGCATCTATCTCATCTTTCTGATCATTCTGTATGAGGGGCTCCTGGGAGGTGCAGCCTACGTGAACACCTTCCACAACATTGCCCTGGAGGTCAGTGCCAGCTAGGCTAGGGCTGTGGGGGCCTTTCTGGGGAAGTCTGGGGCAGGGGTCTCAGGACCAAAGCCTGACCCCTGCTCTCTTCCTCCCCAGACCAGTGATGAGCACCGGGAATTTGCCATGGCAACTGCCTGTATCTCCGACACTTTGGGAATCTCCTTATCAGGGGCCCTGGCCTTGCCTCTGCATGACTTCCTCTGCCACCTCTCCTGATGCCCCAGCTCCTTGGGACATCAGACGTACTGACTCGTGGGTGGGTGGGCAGGTTGGACACCCAGGCCCACACCCCAGAGCCCATCCATGAATCCTGCTCCGGGACTTCCCTGCAGGGCTGGGATGTAGAGAAATACTAAGGCCTTCTTCTTCCGAGAGTATGGGGCAGCTGAGGGCCGCCATTTCCTCTCACCCCCAAGCTGGTCTCGGGGAGTTTCTTGTTGGCATTATGTTCTCTGAATAAATGCCTATTTTGTCAGTTTACTTTCTTGTGTCATTTTCTCTCTGAAAAGAAAATTTTGTTATTACGGTAATTCAAACCCATTTTGGAATATATTGTTGTTGTTAGCTGCCATCCAGTCAGTTCTGACTCAGAGACCCCATGTACAACAGAATGAAACACTGTGCAGTCCTGTGCCATCCTCGCAATCAATGCTGTGTTTGAGCCTGTAGGTGCAGCTGCTGTGTCAATGCATTTTGTAAGGTCTTCCTCTTTTTCAATGATCCTCTACTTTACCGAGCATTATGTCCTTATCAAGGGACTGCTCCCTCCTGATAACATGTCCGAAGTACGTGAGACAGAGTCTCACCCGCCATACTCACTTCTAAGGAGCATTCTGACTGTACTTCTTCCAAGACAGATTTGTTCCTTCTTCTGGCAGTTGATGACATATTCAGTATTCTTCGCCAACACCATAAATCAAAGGCATCAATTCTTTGGTCTTCCTTATTCATCGTCCAGCTTTTGCATACATATGAGGCAACTGAAGATACCATGGCTTGGGTCAGGTGCACTTTACTCTTCAAAGTGACATCTTTGCAATTTAACACTTTAAAGAGGTTTTTTGCAGCAGATTTGCCCTATGCAATATGTCATTTGATTTCTTGACTGCTGCTTCTATGGGTGTTGATTGTGGATCAAAATAAAATGAAATCCTTTGCAATATTTTCTCCGTTTATCATGATGTTGCTTATTGGTCCAGTTGTGAGGATTTTTGTGTTCTTTATGTTGAGTGTAATCCACACTGACGGCTGTGGCCTTTGATCTTCATCAGTAAGTGCTTCAAGTCCTTTTTGCTTTCAGCAAGCAAGGTTGTGTCATCTGCATATTGCAGGTTGTTAATGAGTCTTCCACGAATCTTGATGCTGCATTCTTCATATAGTCCAACTTCTTGGATTATTTGCTCGGCATACAGATCGAATAAGTGTGGTGAAAGGATATAACCCTGACACACCCCTTTCCTGATTTTCAACCACGCAGTATCCCCTCGCTCTGTTCGAACAACTGCCGGTTGGTCTATGTACAGGTTCCGCATGAGCACGATTAAGTGTTCTGGAATTCCCATTCTTTGCAATGTTATCCACAATTTATTATGATCCACACAGTCAAATGCCTTTGTATAGTCAAAAAGCACAAGTAAACGTCTTTCTGGTATTCTCTGCTTTCCGCCAAGATCCATCTCACATCAGCAATGATATCCCTTGTTTCACATCCTCTTCTGAATCTAGCTTGAATTTTTGGCAGTTCCTTGCTGATGTACTGCTGCAACTGTTTTTGAATTATCTTCAGCAAAATTTTACTTGCGTGTGATATTAATGATATTGTTCAATAATTTCCCCATTCTGTTGGATCAACTTTCTTTGGAATGGGAAAAATATGGATTTCTTCCAGTCAGTTGGCCAGGTAGCTGTCTTTCAGATTTCTTGGCATAGACGAATGAGCACCTCCAGAGTTGCATCCGTTTGTTGAAACACCTCAGTTGGTATTCTGTCAATTCCTGGAGCCTTGTTTTACACCAATGCCTTCAGTGCAGCTTAGACCTCTTCCTTAAATACCATTGGTTCTTGATCATATACTACCTCCTGAAATGATTGAACATCAACCAGTTCTTTTTGGTACAGACACTGTATATTCCTTCCATCTTCTTTTGGTGCTTCGTGCGTCATTCAATATTTTGCCCGTAGAATTCTTTGATATTGCAATTCAAGGCTTGAATTTTTTCTTCAGTTCTTTTCAGCTTCAGAAATGCTGACCATGTTCTTCCCTTTTGGTTTTCTAACTCCAAGTCTTTGCACGTTTCATTATAATACTTTATCTTTGAAGCTACTCTTTAAAATTTTCTGTTCAGCTCTTTTACTTCATCATTTCTTCTGTTTGCTTTAGCTACTCTATATTCAAGAGCAAGTTTCAGAGTCTCTTCTGACATCCATTTTGATCTTTCTTTCCTGTCTTTTTAATAACGTTTTGCTTTCTTTATGTATAATGTCCTTGATGTCATCCCACAACTAATCTGGTCTTTAGTCATTAATGTTCAATGTGTCAAATCTATTCATGAGATGGTCTTCAAATTCAGGTGGGATATACTCAAGGTTGTATTTTGCTTCTTGTGGACTTGTTGTAGTTTTCTTCAGCTTCAACTTGAACTTGCATATGAGCAGTTGAAGGTCTGTTCTAAAGTTGGCCCCTGGCCTCATTCTGACTGATGATATCTAGCTTCTCCAACGTCTTTTTCGCCAGATGTAGTCAATATGATTCCTGTGTTTTCCATCTGGTGAGGTCCACGTCACTGTTTATGTTGTTGAAAAAAGGTATTAGCAATGAAGAACTCATGTTAATCTTACAAAATTCTGTCATGTGATCTCCAGAGTCATTTCTGTCACCAAGGCCATATTTTCCACCTACAGACTCTTCTTTTTTGTTTCCAACTTTCACCAATCACCAATAATTATCAATGCATCTTTATTGCATGTTTGATCAATTTCAGACTAGAAGTTGGTGAAAATCTTTAATCTTCTCATCTTTGGCATTAGTAGTTGGTGCATAAATTTTAATAATAGTCATATTAACTGGTCTTTCTTGTAGGCATATAAATGTTATCCTATTACTGACAGTGTTGTAGTTTAGGATAGATCTTGAAATGTTCTTTTTGACAGTGAATGCGATGCCATTCCTCCTCAATTTGTCATTCCTGGCACAGTTGACCATATGATTTTCTGATTCAAAATAGCCAATACCAGTCCACTTCAGCTCACTAATGCCTAGGGTATCGATCATTACGTGTTTCGTTTCATTTTTGATGACTTGCAATTTTCCTAGATTCATACTTTGTCTATTCCACTTTTCGATTATTAATGGATGTATGCAGCTGTTTCTTCTCATTTTGAGTCATGCCACATCAGCAAATGAAGGTCCCGAAAGCTTGACTCTATTCACGTCATTAAGGTCGACTCTACTTTGAGGAGGCAGCTCTTTTCCCAGTCATATTTTGAGTGCCTTCCAATCTGAGGGACTTACCTTCTGGCACTATATCAGGCGATGTTCCGCTGCTATTAACATTTTCACTGGCCAGTTTTTTTCAGAAGTAAACCACCAGTTCCCTCTTCCTAGTTTGTCTTAGTCTGGAACCTGTCTACCTTGGGTGACCCTGCTGGTATCTGAAATAGCAGTGGCATAGCTTCCAGCATCACAGCAACACACAAGCCACTACAGTACAACAAACTGACAGACGCGTGGTAGTTTTTCACACCAAGTCTTCTAAATCCAGGTTGTATTTTATAGTTTTCAACGCATCTCAATTTGGATGCTGGATTATCATTGCAAATACTTGATCTGTATCTATATGTGGCTAGTGGCTGCCATAATGGACAGCACAGGTCTATAGCTATGATAACGTAACCACAAGAATTGGTTTTAAACTTGAGACAAGTCACCTTAAAAAAACATATTTCTGAAAGCCAACCAATCAGTGATGGCTTATACTTTAAACATTGGCCAATCATCAGATGGGCATATTTGTATCTGTCTATTTCTGGGTTCTCTATTCTGTTCCATTGATCTATATGTCTACCTCTCTGCCAATACCATAGTCTCAATTTCTGTAGCTATGTAGTAAGGTTTAACTTGGGTAGAGTGGCTGCTCCCACTTTATTCTTTTTCAAAATTGTCTTAGCTATTTTAGGTTCTTTACCTTTTCACATACATTTTAGAATAAGCTTGACTATCTACAAAAAACCTTGCTGGGATTTTTTAAAATATAGTTTATTTTATTTTTGTTGTTGAGAAAATGCACAGCAGAACATACACCAAGTCAACAATTTATACATGTACAATTCAGTGACATTGATTACGTTCTTCAAGTTGTGCAACCATTTTCACCCTCCTTTTCCAAGTTGTTCCTCATCCATTCACATAAACTCACTGCCCCCTAAGTTTCCTGTTAGTCTTTTGAATTGCTGTTCAGTTTGGTCCTATATAGATAGTTTTTAAAAGAGCCTAATGCTCAAGGCAGACATTCTTTACTAGTTAAGCTAAACTACTGTTTGGTTCCTTCCTGCGATTTTGATAGGAATTGTGTTACACCTGTGTATCAGTTTGGGGAGAATTGACATCTTTATTAACCCTTCCAATTAACGAACATGGTATGTCTTTCCATTTATTTAAGTCTTCTTTGATTTGTTTCACCGGCATTTTATGATTTTCAGCACACAAATCCTGTACATGTTTTTGTTAGATTTATGCCTAAGTATTTCATTTTCTACATAATGATTCCAAATGTTTTAATTTTGGATTTGATATGCTCACTGTTAGTATAGAAAAATGTGAATGCTTTTTTTGTATCGATGTATCTTGTGACTTTGCTGAACTCATTTATTAGTTCCAGGACTCGTTCTGTAGATTCCTCGGGATTTACTACATAGACAATCATGTCATCTGCAAATAGGAGCAGTTTTATTTTTTCGTTTTTAAACTGTATTCCTTTTATTTCCTTTTCTTGCTTTTTGCTCTGGCTAGAACTTACAGTACTATGTTTAATGAGAGTAGTGAAAGCAGACATCCTTGCCTTGTTCTCTATTTTAGGGGGAAAACTTCAGTCTTTAACCATTAAGTATGATGTTTGCTACAGGTTTTTAATAAATGCTCTTCAAGTTGAGTAGGTTGCCCTCTATTCCTACTTCGCTGAGAAGTTTTTTGTTTTAATTATGAATAGTGGTGAAGTTTGTCAGATACTTTTTTGAATCAATTGACATAATTGTATGATTTTTCTTCTTTAGCCTGTTGATATGGAGGATTACACTGATTGATTTTTTTAAATTTTATTGTAGTGAAAATACACATGACAAAACATATGCCATCTCGACAATTTCTACATGTACTATTCAGTAACTTTGATTACATTTTTCGAGTTGTCCAACCGTTCTCACTATCCTTTTCTAAATCATTGCACCACTATTAACATAAACTCAATTCCCCCAAGCAAAAATTCCTCTTCTCTCTCCCGCCCATCCATGCTAACCACTAATAATCTTTAGTTTCTGTATAAGTCCTTATTTCATATAAGTGAGATTATACAGTATTTGTCCTTTTGCAACTGACTGACTTCACTCAGCATTATATTTTCAAGGTTC